AACAAAAGCAATGCACCCTATTAAGCAGAAGATGGGGGCTATGCAATTTAATGGCCTAAAGTCGAATTTATTTTGACACTTCCTAAACATGTCTAAATTGGGTCATAGTTTTATATGTACAACATTTGTTAAAAATATATCTTCCAGAGTCAAACGAGTTAGTATTTGATAAGAATAAAAACAGAGTAGTGGTTCCATTTTCATCGGAGAAGTTTTCGATAGTGATGGGATTGCACCATGAGTGGCATTACGTTGACATAAATTTGATGAATAAATCTTCGTCCACTATTAGTTGCCTATGTAGTGGAGCAGTCTTGGGCTCCGAACATAACAAAATTGCTAAAAAAGTTGAAGGAATAATGCAGGAGATATTTCAAGTCCTAGCAAGATATGCCCGAAGTTTATATTGGAGTATTTAGGTAATTTATAAATTCTGGCATTATTGTATGCATGGGGCATGGCTGCCTACAAGTGTATTCTCGAATAAAGAAGAGCGTACGGGACATCATATTTTAAAAGATGCATGATTGGGTTGATGGAATGGATGCATGAGATGATCCCTTTTTTAGGTGCACATCAGAGTGTTTATATATTTCTCGCCTTTTTCGATGGAGCGACACCATGATCCATGTGAAGAGCATCAAGCTCAGCTAGAATTTGATGAAATCACAAAGATACAAATGAAGAGATTATATTCATTCTCCGAAGAGGAGAAACTAAAAGATATCATGAATATCTATAGCTACTACCGGTCATAATCATTGTCGTGTAATCTAGAAATTGCAATGGTGAAAAAATAAATTGAGAACATGAGGAAAGTGAAGATGGAGAATGAAGAAGATGAGGAGAGAGAGAGAGAGAGAACGAAGACGACAAAGAAGAAGACATCAACACCGCTAAGCTGAATAATTATTGTATGTGTGATTTGTACTATACATATGATAGCTGAATACATACAATTGGAATAATATACCCTTACCATATTATTTGTTGAACATAGGCATGTCCTATTTGATGGATTTTCGGAAGCCAGTTTATATTTTTGCGAATGATGGGAAGATGAAAGGGAAAGGAAAAATGAGAAGACCAGACGGGAAGACAAAATAGAAGAATTAAAACAACGTAAGTAAAGCAGTTAGAGAACGAGAATAAGGATTTTAATGAAGAAGAAGAAGAAGAAGAAGAAAATGCGAAGGAAAACAAAGAAAATGAGGTAGATGATAACAATGTAGAGAATAACAACCACATATAATGGATGTTCTGAGATATATGAAAACCTCAACATCTCTTATAAGCACAATATTGATTATATACTTATAGGTCAAATCTCACTAATAGTCCCTTATCTTAGTGTTTAGTCTCACTTTAGTCCATCATGTCCCAATTGTCTTATTATCATCCTCCAACTCTACAATCTATCTCAATATAGTCCTTCGGTGTATAATTTAGTTAACTTTAATGGAATCTTTTATTTATTGGATGAAATATTTTATTCTCATAATTATTTGTAATAAACTATAAATAAATTAATAAATACTAGAAAAACATATATAATTGAATTAGATCTTTAAATTTTAACATAAGATCAGAAAAAATATAAATAATTTTTTTTTATAGAGAATATATATAGATGACATATTATAATTATTTAAATATGTTTCTAAATTCAAGTCGTATATTCACAAAATAAATGATTCATTTTTTTATTAATATAAATTAATATTTCCTAAAAATGGTAGCTTCTTAAGTTATATATTTATAAGTTATACTTTTGTTGGTTGCAAATGTTATTTTTAAATTACAAACTTTATTATTTAATGAAAAAATCATAATTTATCAAAATAATTCCGTTAAAGTTAGCATATTTATACACCAAGGGATGATAATGAGATGGATTATAGAGATGAGGGATGGAAATGAGACAATTAAGACATGAGAGACTAAAGTAAAACTAAATGTGAAGATGAGGGATCAATAATGAGATTTGGCCAATACTTTATTAATTATATGTAGAAACTACCTCCCTATAGAATTTATACTATCGGTAACACCTATACATACGTTTATACGGTTTGTGTACACGATTGCAATGCATTAGGGGTACTATATATTGGAGTAACAATACGTATTAGAATAATATACGACTGGTGTAACGGGACAACGAAAAAGGACAATTTTGAAATTATAAAGTGTTATGAAGGGTCATGAATTTTGTCTCCAAAAATGAAAATATGAATGAAATTCTACATATTATTGTAATTTTTAGGGGAACTTTATCTAAGAGTAAATAAAAATGATTTCTTTACTATTGACATATTAATTAAACAATTCTATCATTTACTCAATAAATACTAAGAAATATTTTTTGGACATATCGACTGACCTCTCTCTCTGTCTCTCTCTCTCCTCTTCTGGTAATGATTCTGCATCTCTTTCTTCCTCTCTCACTTCTCTATGTAATTTTCTTCTTATCAGAGCAATTACAAAAGCAACCAATATTTTTCTAGCAAAGGAAAACAAAAAAAACATATTTTAAAATTATATCTGAAATACATATTTTGTTTTAGATAATAAATAGATATTTGCTAAGTAGGTACAGAAAGTTTTGTGTCTCTGGTCCCAATATAGGAGGGGGCCCCTCTCTCTCTTCATCAATATCTAGAAACTGCCTGCATCACTTCTCTCTCTAAATATCTTTAGGTAAATTACTTTATCTCTTAGGTAAAAAAAGTTAACGAAGAATTTTTTTTATAGTGTTTGAATAATTACGGTCGGTCTCTCAATTATTCATCTTTTTACACGTCCACTGTTATGATATTAAATTCAACATAATTTTCTGGATTGTGCGGAATGTTCTCTAGTTTGTACTCGTTTTGTGCAAAAATACAGTT